AAAACGACCATGTATAGTAAGGCGTTTTAACCCGAAAAAAACGACCATGTATAGCTAGGCGTTTTTAGCTGAACAAAACGACCATGTATAGTAAGGCGTTTTAACCTGAAAAAAACAACCATGTATAGTAAGGCGTTTTTAGACGAAAAAAAAGACCATGTATAGTAAGGCGTTTTTTCGAGGAAAAAAACGACCATGTATAGTAAAGCGTTATAAGACGAAAAAAAACGACCACGTATAGTAAGGTGTTTTGAGCTGAAAAAAACGACCATGTAGAGTAAGGCGTTTTTAGCGGAAAAAAATGACCATGTGTAGGAAGGCGTTTTTAGCGGAAAAGAACGACCATGTATAGTCAGGCCTTTTTAGCCGAAAAAAAACGACCATGTAGAGTACACTTGGTCATTTTTTTCGTCGAAAAATGCATTACTATACATGGTTGTTTTTTTCCGATAAAAATGCTTTGCTATACATGGTCGTTTTTTTCGGCAAAAACGCCTTACTATACATGGTCGTTTTTTTCTGCTACAAACGCTTTACTATACATGGTCGATTTTTTCGTCGAAAAAAGCCTTACTATACATAGTTGATTTTTTCAGCTAAAAACGCCTTACTATACATGGTCGTTTTTCTGTCTAAAAACGCCCTACTATATGCCATCCCAAGCTTGAAATCGAACCCTTTTAAAACGCTACTTTGAATCCCCAACCCTAATGTGAAACAGTAACCCTACACTAAAACCCTACTTTTAAACCTTAACCATAAATAGAAACCCTACTTGAAAAAAGTGAATCTAATGAGCCATGGCATACATTTTTATACGATGTTGAAAGTGGAATGATGTGAATCGGATGATGCGGTATGAGATGCGTGACAAAAAAAGTGGGCTGAATAAAAAAAATTAAAAAAAAAGCGGCAGACCGTGTGAAGGCCTTCAAGCTTTCACACAATACCAGGCTATTTTAAAATGTTTATTCACGAAGTTCTTGTAAAAACATTCGGACATGTGAATAATAGCAGAAAAAATAAACACGTTTCCATGTGAAGGGACTGTCTAGTTTCAATTTTAAATTCCACTTTAACCAATGTGAAATTCTTCACATGAAGATCACTGACTCGACATAGACAAGTGGGAACATCGAATATCAAAAGTCTTCCAAAAATAAAAAGTTGCTTCAAAAAGGCTGACTGAGGTCTTGGCTGTGTCGAAAAAGCACTTTGGTGTCATCACAGTGAGCAAAAAAGGCACGAAGGAAATTTGTAATTTACAATGGCGATCAAAACGACAGTGCTTAACAGATGTATGAGACCAGCAAACAACGTCCGCTTGACACTGCATAGCATTTCTAATTGATGAGCGTTTCTGTAAACGTTTAGACATTTGACCGAAATGACATTTTTAATGTACACCTGTCATGATTAATTTTCATGACACTGAAAAATAAATAGAAGAGCACACTATTATTTGTTGAATACGATGACAAATTAGTGTATTTTTCAGACCATAAGGCGCACTCGACATTCTTTCATTTTCACAAAAATCGACAGTGCGTCTATGTACGTTTTTTTTTTTTTTTTTAATGGACCCATTCATTGGTATTTACCTAATAATACGGTGCGCCTAATGCTCCATGAAATACGGTAAAGTTCAAGCGCTTCATGATGCTGGATGGTGTCTTCTGGTCTCATACATTTTTTCAACACTGTTATGGAAAACAAAACAAACAAACAAACAAACTGTAAAAAACAAGTGCAAACTAGTATCAACGCTCCGACTCTCACAATCTCGCATTCATCTTTTTTTTTTTTTTAACCTCATTCAGGTCACAAAGTTGGAGCCTATCTCGGATGACACCCACAACTGGTCGCCAATTGCATGTACACATTTACATGAAGGCCGTATGTACTTCATGCCATTTAGGTAACATCGGGTTACCATGACGGGACTTATTTTAAGGTATTGGGTACTCCTGGAGGCTTCTGATACCAGCAACTGATATTTAAGACAAAAAAAAAAAAAAAAAAAAAAAAAAAAAAAAAAAAAAAAACCTCGGCGGTGGTTGTCCCTGTATAACTTTGGCGTATTATCAATTGCATGTCAAAGAAAGATCTTTGTACACAAATTTTGGTCAGTGATTTCAATGAAAGCTGCATCTGTACATAATTACAGATGGGCAGGTCCCGATAACACGTATCAGTAATTATTTGAAGGTATCGGGTACTCGTGTCGGCTGCTGATATCAGTCACTAATTCTTAAGGAAACAAAATACATAAATCAGACTTGACTTGATGCATTTTTTTTTTTTTTGTCAATTGGTAGTTGGAATTTTGGACTATCAAAAGTACGAGCGGTATCAGGACGCTGTATCGGTGCATCCTGTCGCTCACCCAAAGTCATCTATGATAGGCTTCAACTCACCCGGGATGTGAATGAGGATAAGCGGCATGGAAAAAAAAAAAAAACATTTCAACGCAGCACAGTTATATTTTGGGGTCAGTAACAAAATGGCTGCTGGTTGGGAAGAAGAAAAAGGAGCTGCCGGGCGTCACAAAATGGCTGCGAGCAATTTTCCCCACCTAAGCTCGGACCAGTTTGAAACCATGTCCGGTGTCGAGAACAGCGGGAGGAAACCAGTTGAGTTTGACCCTCTTGAGGCACCTGAGGCAGGCGCCGCAGGGCCACAGCAAGCTGAGGCCGCCGCACCACAGCGCCAAGCGGACCACCGGGTAGGTGACGCGCGGGAAGTATGCCCTCCAGTGGTCGGTGAGGTCACTGCCGGTGGGCAGGTGCAACGTGTAGTCGCTCCAGCGGCGCGACACGCCGTAGACGGCCGCCGGCGCCCCGCCCCGCCGCGACCACGGGAGGCCGCCGTCCCCGTCGCAATTGTAGGCCACCCAGTGCGAAAGGAAATCGCCCCGTTGCTGCTCGGCGGGCCGCGGCGAGGTCGCGGCCTGCACCGCCACGTGGACGCCCTCCACCTGCCGCGCCGCCTTCACCGTGGGCAACGAGTGGTCGCAGTCCAGCACCAGGATGAGTCGGGAGCGGAAGGCGCCGTTCTTCTCCCGCCACCAGTCCAACAGCTGATCCAGACCGAGCGTGTCTCCCCCTTCGAAGGGCAAAAAGCACAACTGAGCTTCGATCACCCCGACCTGAGACACCATGAGAAGAGTGACCGACCTGCCAGCGCCCACTCGCCGGTGCGATGCGTGTGGCCGCTGTAGAAGAGCACGTAGGTGTCGTGGCGCGGCCCGTCGGCCGTGCGCAGCTCCATGAAGGACTTGAGCTTGGCCTGCAGCGCCTCCAGCGTGACGCCGCCGGTGGAGTAGTCGCAGCCGAACGTCTCGATGAGGTGCTGGGCCAAGAAGCGCTGGATGTTGCTCAGCATGGCCGTGGAGCGCAGGTTGAGCTGCTGCACCTGGTCGGGGGGCAGCAGGACGGGCTGCCCGTCGGGACTGCGACGGGATACAAATACGCAAACGCGGGCGGAAGATCGTCAAGCCGCAGTCGTATTAGTCAGCCTTTGCTGAGGTTAATACTGTATTGGCCTGAATATAAGACGGTGTTTTTTGCAATGAAATAAGACTGAAAAAGTGGGGGTCGTCTTATATTCGGGGTCTAGACATTATACCCATTCACGACGCTAGATGGCGCCAGATATCAATGAAGCGAATGCTGAACTTGACTCCCCAGGCCAAAGTGAACCCCTGTCACGAAGAATAAGAATAAAAATAAAAATAGCGGTAAGACAAAGAAGAAAAATAAAAAATAGCGGTAAGAAGGAAAAGAGAAGAAAATAATAGAAGAGACAACAGAAAATGGAGAAACGTAGTGACAATCTGGAGAAAAGTGGGTTGAAGATCGGCCAGGTTAACCGGCAGCTGAGGAGAAGTTATGATGTAATTTACATTTCAAAAACCAGAAGCCATTCACTTACGAATGTGATTGCACTTTAGATTTGAATGAGGCAAAATAACATGCTTTTTCTCTCAAATACATTGTTATAATCATTTGTTTCAGATGTACTGTAATTAATTTCTTTATAAAATTTAATTTGGTGTTCAAAAACTCTTTTTTCAAACTTGAGTCTTGAAAAAGAGGGCGTTGTCTTATAATCAGGGCCGTCTTATATTCGGGCCAATACGGTAATCTTTGCATGGGATAGCTGTGCTCGGTCTGAATGTACATTTGCGTTCAAGTATGGTCACATCCATATTGTGTCAGCTTTTACAGGTCAATGTTGAAAAGGTAGTGCTCGGTGAGCTAAGTCATTTTTAGGTGGTGAAAAAGTTTTGGACAATGCAATACTTGCTTCACGACGAAATGTACCTGCAGTAGTTTGTGGGGATGACCACGGCGTAGCCCACACACGTTCCTCCCAGGCTACTGCCCAGCTCGTGGAACAGACCGTGGAAGACGGATTCCAGGGGGAGAACCAGCAAGAAGGTGCTCAAGAAGATGCTGCTGGACGCCTGCATGTAACGGAGACGCGGCTCAGCCAGATGAACAACTTCAAACAGGACAATGGAATCCGACGTGCGACTCGAGTGGATGCGGAAAGGTCGCCGCCCGCCTCGCCATGAGGCGGCGCCGTTCAGCGGTGCCACTTACCTGCCAGGACAAAGCGGCAACGGCGATGGTGGACACCAGCGTGAAACGCAGCAGGCGCTCGGAGATGAGGCAAAAGTGTCTCATTCCCTTGGACGCCATGATCTTATCCAACCGGCTGGCCCCACAACCCTGGCTCAGGCAAACCCTCTGGCAGTCGCTGAGCTTGCTGTGAAAGCCCCACAGGCTGATGAAGAACACCAAGTGGCAGATGGCCCAGAAGAGTGCGCAGGCCGCGAACGCCGGGATGGTCAGGTACCAGCGGTCCAAGCGACCGAGCACCTGCGCCGACAGAACGAGGAAGGTCACCTCCAGAAGCAGCAGGGGGAGCAGGGTGAGGCGCCGCCACAGGCCCCTTCGGGAAAGGAAAGGCTGCCAGCGCTCGGTCACGGAAAGGCCGCTGAAGTAGGTGTCGAGCAGCGGGTCGCAAACCAGCAGGCCGAAGAAGCAGCCCAGGGCGTACGGGTTGGTTCGGACTTGAAGGCTTTTGAGGAAGAAGTCCACGCCGATGGCAACGAAGCACGCCAGGTTGGTCAGCGCCAGCACCGCTTTCATCCTGAGGGCCACCGTGACGGCGCAGAGGGCGCCGGCCAGCACCGTGACGCTCAGGGCTTTGGGGAGGAGCAGCACCGTGCTGGCGGCGGCGAAACCCGTCAGCAGAAGCCGTTCGGCCGAGGTGACGAAGGTGGGCCGGTGTCTCGAGTAGCCCAGCATCCTCTCCAGCAGCGCCCACAGAGTCCTCAGGGACACGCTGGACAGCAGCAGACCGTTGGCGACCTGCTCCTTGACGTTGCCCTCCAGCTCAGGGCTGTTGACGAAGCACAGAAGACCCAGAAGGAAGCCGAACCAAAGATAAAGGAGGCTGAGGCTGAGCCGCTCCGTGCCCAAGTAGCAGTACAACACGCCGGCCAGCGCCAGGACGAGCAAAGCCAAGATGATGATGACCAGCAGCGTGGACTCAGCCATCTCCTCCCAGCGGACGAAGAGGCCCAGGCACAGCGCCACCAGCAGGTTGAGGCCGGACATGTAGCCCAGGCAGCGGACCGACGACCACACGCTCCCTTCCCCGTGTGCACCTTCAAGTCGGGTCATTGCCGCTTGCAAGCAGTGGCTGACGCAGTACCGTAGAAAACGCGCCATTCGAAGCCGCAACGGACTACAGACACGCCGAAAACAGACACGCCGATGTTTCAAGACGGCGTCGGCTCTACATTGGGGACATTGACGTCGAGAGATAACCAAGGCTTAGCTTCGTTGCTAACTTGGCAAAAGTGGCTAGCCTACTTCAAGTTAGCATCTTGAGCCGGTCGACGCTAGCGCGCAGAACAACGATCGCCTGTAAGTTACGAGAGTGGCATTTTTCGTCCCGATGTGGATATCCGCGGAGTTATTGGATAGGAAGACTTGTAAAAAGAGTGGGACCTGCTGCCAGTTAGTGAAGAACATTTCAGTTGAGGAACTTTCGGAGCGTCGAAAGTTTTCAAAACGCCATGATTGATGACTGAGCGTCGGCTACGGCAGCCGCGAAGCATCGAAAAGGTCTCGAGAAAAAAAATCACCCGAACCGCCTTTGACAATTAAGTGTGAAAATATTAATGCAATTATGTACAGATGGCCCAAAGTATGCGAAAATAACCATGGTAACATATCTATTCACAGCCGGTATTCTTGATTAGCTGTTTGGGAGTTTTGCGTACAATTTGACACGTGCGGTTGGTTAAACGTTTTAGAACACACTAAAGCAGTGGTTTTGTTTGACATTGAATGACAGGTAAAGTCCAATGAATAGCTTGAGTCGTAAAAACGTGAGGTGGTGAATGGCAGAGGTTAAAAAAATGGTAAAGCTTCCCTCATACTGGGAAAAATGTACATTTGATATGCAAAAAGGCAGTACCTCGTCGACCCTAGTTTGGGAAGAACTGGACCGAAGAGTGAACGCACATACAATGATGAAAACTTCTGCAACGGAGTTGGGAAAAATTTACGAATTCTAAAAAAAGCCCACAGCAGTATTCTATACTTTCACTTCTAAATACTATTAGACACGGAACTGCATGAATGTTAAAATAACTGGAAGAATTGGGGTCTTCTAAAATGTTTTATCAGTATAGTTTAGATTAAAAATGGGTATATTTAATTTCTAGCAGCAATAGTACAGTAGTACTTTTGAAATTAAGTGTATTGGTTTAGTCATGTCACCTCCATAAATGTGAATTTTAAATAATGCACTCCAGTACACCATTAAAAAAAAAACACGAGACACCTTCCACTGACATTCATTTATAAAAGACACAACCATACAAGGAGCACACGTTGTTCTGAACCGTTAAATGTTTGATGATGACGATAAACCATGCAAATGAGTCTCAGGGAAACACTGGAAGACTACTGCACCACTCCATAACAATACCACTGACTGCGAGTGATGCTCTATTGAAACAAAAGCGATATGAACATGAATTATACGACAAGAATAACCTTTGTGTGCTGTTGAACTGTGACATCTGTAAGGGAGGGTGGAGTGGTTTGGGGGGGCAAGGGGGGTTCTCTAAAGGCACCTCCGGACGTGCCGCTTTCTCGTCTTGCTGGTCATCGTAAGAAAATAGGTCAATTTGCAACGCCCTTTGGGATCAGTGAGATAAAGTGCCAGTACGCCGTCATTCACACGCGCAAACCCAACAAAGGCCACTCTCAGCTGGTAGCTTAAAAACCTCAGCAGCATCTATTGCTTTGATTTAAAAAAAAAAAAAAAAAAAAAAAAAAAAAAAAAAAAATCACCATACGCTTGTTGCAGAGGGCCAACTAGTGCAAACATTTTCAGTTCTGGTGAATTTTCAGTCTTCAGTACATCCAATGTTTTACGCGCCAGGGGTGGGCAACCTTTTGTGTTGACATTTGATCCATCACTTGTGCATTAATTGTGCCTCGATTTTGTTTTTGAAATCACGTGGCTGGCCGGATGAAACGCTCTCAGGGGGTCGTCGGTTGCTCACCCATGGTTTTCAGACCAGGACGCGTCATATGGAAAAGTTACTGTTTCCACCAAGTCTGTTTGGCAGCGACATATTTGTATCGTTTGTCTGCTTGAAAACAACTATTAAGACAAGGATAAGCAATAAAGGGGTTTCCCCCACCCAAAAAAAATGACAACTTTGAAACATTAGTACCTTGTGATACACTTAAGTCACATTAGTAGAATACTCCAGTTAGATGATCCTAAAATGCTACAAATACCACATTGTTGTTAAGGATGCATAAATTGTGAAGGATTTTTTTTTTTAAATGCAACATTGGACAACATCAATGTCTTTGAAAAGAGTGCGCTTAACATTTTCAAGCGAGCCCACTTGTTCAGTCTCTTCAATGCAATCACCAACCATCACGCCGCTCAAGTTATCTTTTTTTAAGGGGCGGGTGGTGTGTGTGTGTGTGGGGGGGGTCTTGTTAGCACACACGCTCTTCATCAGCATGCAGACACAGCGGGAGATGATATGCTGGACGTCAAAAAGCAGGAAGCGTTGATAGATGAGGGGCGCTCACTTTCCAACTCTTAGAAAAAGTCTGTCGATCTATCAAAATATACGTCGAGCGAGAGTGTTCTGAGAAAAATAGTGTGTAAACGTCTTCTCTTTCACACTGTGCAAGTCGTCTGGAGGAGAGGGAGGGCGAGGAGAATGCAGCAGGTTTACGTTTGGCAGCGCAGCAGTAGAACGGAGAGAGAAGGGAGAAGAGCCGGGCCGGGGGCGGCGCCGGTCTAGGTCTGGAGCAGGATGGGGTCCTCCAGCTCCTGGAAGCCAGGCACCGAGCCGCTCTGGCTCTCCCCGGAATCCGAGTCGCAGGTGTCGGGCAGCTCGGCGAAGGCCCAAGCCAGCTGGTCGTCCTCAAAGTCGGAGCGGGCCTGCGCCTCGCCGCCCTCGTCCTCCTCGCTGGGGTGGAAGTCCTGAGGGATGTAGAGCATCTCGGGGTAGTTGCGCGACACCAGGTCGCTGGTGGTGGCCAGCGACACCTTGCGGAAGGCCATGAGGTGCATGTGGGAGTACTTGACGTACTTGTAGCGCTTGAAGCCCAGCGACTCCACCGCCACGCGCCAGCTGCGCATCATGAGGGCGTGGCGGTTCTGGTGCGAGGAGTCGGGCGTGATGATGAGCAGCAGGCCGTGCAGGTCCAGCAGCTCGTGGGCTTTCTTGCAGCAGATCCAGCGCTGGTAGGGCGACGGGAAGTAGGAGAGGAGCAGGGAGAAGACCACCACGTGGAAGAGCTGCCCCGGCAGGGCGTCGATGGGGTTGTGCAGGTGGCGCAGGAAAGCCTCCACGGCGTCGCCCGTCAGCTGGAGGGGCCGCTGCAGCTGAAGGTTGAGGAAATCGCACTTGTACACGCTCTGAAGGAACACAACGTCAGTCCGGTTGTCATTTTCGGATTTTCATCCTCGGCCGCGTCACCTCTCAGGAGGCAGCCGGAAAAACCACAAGTGGAACGTGTTTTGATGCTTCCGCTGACATGCATCAACTTTTCCACAACACACGGGAAGAAAAAAAACAACAACAATACCAGCATGCTCTCACCTCGACCGCAGGCACGATGTCGATACCGACGGTGAGGAACTCGTCAAACTTCTTGAAAGGGTTAAAGCAGCTTCCCACGTCCAGGAGGCGGATTTTCCCCATGTGAGCACCTGGACTGCAACACAGAATAGGTTCTCTTTCAAAATGTTTGTGTTGTCCGATCAGCTCCATATGTGGCATTTTACGGCATACCAGAAAGAGCACAAAAACACACAAATAAAAACTTGAGTTTTTCAGCGACGATCTAAGGATACATTCCACAGAAAACATGAAGCAAGGAATTCTTGAATGTCGAAACGCAAAGAGGCAAGTGAACTGTCCGACTGTAACAAACACGTCTGTTGAGAAAGTCAAAACTCGTCTTACCGTTGGATCGAAGAAGATGGCCGCCCACTCGCAGACGCTTCAGTCAGACCGGCGGAGAAAGAGGCACTTTTCTCATCCTTCTCCAACATTCTTTTCATGCCGCCATCCCGGAAATACTCCTGGCAAACACTGCACACACGCGCGCGCGGTCTCAATGAAGCTTCGAACAACAACTCCATTTGCATTAACCAACAAATTACGTCTGTGGCTTATTTGGCGCGACAGGCATTATTTCCAAACCTCTGTGGGCCAAGTAAAGTGACCTGGGGTGCGCCCCCCCCCAATCAGTCTCAAAAGGAAGTCTCACCTGTGACACCAATCGATGCGTCCTTCCTTTTCGCAGTTGACGGCCCAATGGTTGTCGGCGAGGTTCTTCATGGCGACGGCGTACTCGCTCAGCGTTTGCTCATCCTCGCAGTGCTCGCGCCAGATTTTGTCGAAGTCGCCCACTGTGGAGGAAAGAAAAGAGATGGCGGAGGGGCATCAGAAAACAAGATCGGCGGCGAGGGAATCGGGTTGCAAAATTCGGGCCCATTTTCAAAGTCGGAAGCCGTCCATGGGAATTAACGGAAATTTAGGGGAAGGAACAATTCTAGAAAATTGGAGGCTGGCACTTATTTGGAAGAAAGCGTACAAAGGCCACAGGAGCACATTATCAGAGAAGGATTCCAACATGGTGGTTGTAAAGAGCAGCGAAAGGGGCAGCGGCAGCAGCATAGCCGGCCTCAGCTGGAGGTCATTCAAGCGGATCACACTTTGCTTGTTAGCCAATCGGATGGTTTAGCGAGCGCCTCCAAAACAAGCAATATAACATTTCTCAGCCATCTTTCTCAATCGGCGCACTCTTCTGCAAATGTGGGGCCATATGACTTCCCATAGAGACCTCTCATGACCAACTCTTCCCGTTCATTCCACGGACTCCTGATAATCTGTGTTTATCTTGGACGGTGCAACTCGCTTATCAGATACAACTGACAAGGACTAATTCAACGGCCTAGTGTGAATGCGCCCAAGTATGAGTTGACATTTTGTTTTTTTAGGTGCATAATGGCTCTTCTATGACACTCCTAAAAAAAACTTTTCAGATGCTGAGCTCATTCAGCAGCTCCAAATACATTCTGTCATTATTTAAAAAGGCAACGCATGACAGTTGCCAGAAACGGCCGACGTGTTGCATCAATGTTTTTTTCACCCTCTCTCCAGACTTCCCATTTCGGTGCACGCTCTTGTCCGGACTGGCACTCTCAGTGTGATGCAACGCAAACCATAACCTGACTGATAAAACAGTTTAAGGCAGAAAATAAGGTTGGCGGCAAAAAAAAAAAAAAAAAAGTAAGTCTGAGGTGGTGGAAAGAAGGGAGGTAAGTTGACATGAAGGAAAGAAGAAAGACAAGTAGTTTACAGTAAAGGAAAGAAGGATACAGAAAAGAAGGAAGCAGAGAAAGAGGCAAAGGAGGCCAGGCTGGAAAAAAAAACGCCGAGGGGGGAAACTGGAACGGTAGGAAGGCATAATGGATGATTCAGCAAAGCAAGATCAGAAATAAACTGGTAAGCATAAAAAAAACAACTCTGGAGCAAAGGAAATATTCCCGAAAAAAAAAAAAGAAAAATCTGGAAGTAAAATAAAATGAAAACATTTCAGATGAATTATCTACTTGTGACCCACTCTTGATACCTTTTAGCAGGGGACATCTCACTTCTGGGACAGATTTCTATTCGTAAAATAAGCGACAATCGTTATGATCGAACTGTGGCTTCCATGGTATCCTATGCTGAAAAATCCAGTTCGCGTGGTTTTATTTAGACCGAGTCCACATTTCAAATTTCCTCGACGGGTGTCTGCCCGGTCTAACTTGTGAGCTAATGTTTAGTCGAGCGCTGGTTCACGTTTAACATTTCGTCTAGTTGAATGAATGCCCTGTCAACACGTTCCTGCCGTTGCATTTTAAAAATGATTATTTAGTCACGCTCGCGCATGCAGGCATGCATGCATGTCTGCATGCTACGAGTCCCCAAGAGGAGGCCGACTGACCGGACTCTATGTAACCTGTTGCGGTCTTGACGGTTCTTCTTTCAGCGTCAAGTTACGCTTCAGCACAAACGTTCCCCTGTTGTGCGTTTCATTTATTCGTCAGTGCTTTCGGGGCGGCCTCCATCGGTGACCCGCAGCCCACCGTATAGACGACAGCCAACGTGTGCGTGGTTAAAATATCAAAACAGGATAACACGACAAAACAACCCCATAAAAGTTAAGAGAAAGAGAAAGAATGCGTCGTTTTGGGGGGAACTAGCGTTCGGTTCGCCAAAAGCAGACGAGAGGGCCTCACCTTCTCGGTATTTCCTGCGGAGCTTTCTGTGGACGTTTTTCACCACCCCCGATAGCTTTTCTTGTTCGTTCTTAACCGGGGACGCGTCTGGAATGGGCAAGTAGAAGAGAGCGCCGTGTCTCTCGGTCTCCCCCGTGTCAACGTCGTCACGAAGGTCCATCGCACCGGTCCGGTGAGCTCGGCTGCTGGTGGTGGCTGGCTTCTTCCTCTTCCTCTCCCCCCCAGCCTCAATACAGCTGCTTTGCACCGGCGAGCCGGTGGCACACGTGCCAAGAACAAGCAAGCCGATTGGCTGGTTGAGGCACACATGCGCTCAGAAGTGACAGCGCGACGTCCAATCACAAGCCAGGAAACCATAGCTTCTCTGTTGTTGCATTCAAGAGACCTCGTAAATTTTAACTCCCTGCCCTAAAACGCAAGAATACCTTTTCCCCCTTCATCGATTCTTTGTACTGCTTGAACAAAAATATGATGGTGAACGTCTAAATGGTATTTTAAACTCTTCTAACGCTGCTGTGCCCTACTAAAACTTTATATGGCACTTTATAAGACACACAAACACAACCATAAATCTTATCAAACCCTTTAAAGCTTATCAGTCTTCGCGGGTATTAAGTGTTCAACCCTATGATACGTTTTCAATTTCTAAGTTTCAAACGTTTCTCTGTCAGTGGACACACTAAAATGCAAACAAAGTTGTATCATTTTGTAACCTAGTTTAGTCCATATCATGTCAGACAACAGGCAAAATGTTGACCTTTTTCCAAAGTGCAAATCTGTTGATGGACTACTGAAATTAAGAGTCTATATTGCTGAGCTGAAATTCTGAGGATTTAGATCATTTGAAATTCAAAAAGGTTAAACGATCAATCGATTGTCAAAAAGAATGATCAATTTCTTAAGCAATTGTTGATGATTCTATATACACTTATGTACATACACACACACTAATACGTACATAATTTCACACACACACACACACACACACACACACACATATACTCAACACATAAAATTCTATTTACAATTCACCAACAGATGAATATGAATTGACTCCACCTCACAGGATGTTGACGTGAATTTCCATTTAATTAAAATGTCATAAAAATTCAACTTCAGTGACTTTCCAAACACTCTGTACCGCACATCTGAACATACATGCATCCTTCACGCAGCACAATTGAGTTTTCATTTGCATTTGATCATTTTATACTCTGAAGTGTACAGAAAACAAATGGCTGTAAGGGTTTAAAGGTTTAGTCATCTTAGACTGTCATCTGAAACTCTTATTTCCTCATAGTGGAGCCGGAAGCATCTGTTAGGGGTATATTTGTACACATTTTTTTTCCTAATAAGGCATTAATGTAGGTGTGGCGTTTTATTTATTCAAGTGGACAAAGCACACAAGCCAGCGATTGAGGCACGCAAATGTTGCTAATTTTAGAAAATATGGTCGTTACAATTAAAAGCTAACTGTCTGAAATGATACATCAAGTATCTTGCTTAAGGAAATCATTCGAAAACGATTCCTGCTTGGACATGAGTAAAAGACTTCATTTTGACAATATACTGTGGCATTAAAAAAAAAAAAATCCAATATAGCAAGAAAAAGATGTGAATGTTGCATTGGAATTTCAAATACAACCACAACACAAACAAACAAACAAAAAAACTGCAGACAATAGTATGGTTTTGTTTTGGTGCTGGTCCTGCTTGTGTCACCAGCCACTCACAGCGCAACAGCAGGATGCTGGTCTTGCTAGTGTGGCTAGCAAAACCAGCGACAAAATCACAACAAACCCAGTCAAGATTCAACCACCCGAACCTTTGGTCACTGGGCAACCCGCCCCACCCACTGAGCCACCGCTTCGACCATGTAAGCTGGTGAAACCAGCAAGACGAACTGGTCACCGACTATCAACAACTGGGGGGCAGGGCCCCAGCCGGGCCGCGATGGCTCTGTTCATAGAGCTGGTTGCCCAGTGATTGAAGATTCCACTGTTCGACTCTTTTAGTTTTGCTTTGCCGCTGCTGTCACCAGCAAGACCAAGATGTAAATAATCACAACAAAACCACGCTGGTCGATGCTGGTTTTGATCTTTTTATTCTTTTTCCTTAACGGAATTTATCCTATCGAGTTGTCTTTCATGGGCCGTTTCTCTCCTTGACACAAGAGCCAGACCACAGAAATCAGGTAGAGGCCAAAACACGCAAGAAAGTCGTAATAATAAGCGGTGACTGCAAACACGGCTAACAAGGTGACATAGAGCAAAATTTTGGAGACAGAGCGATAGGAACAGGTCTCTCGCCTTGCCACGTTCGCGCCGGCGCTTTCCGGTTCACTCGGCCGCGACCGAGCTGCTTTTTCTGTTTGCGCGTCTTCGCGGCCGACCTGCTGACAGCCGACGTGTTCCTCATCCGCGGACTCGCTGATGGACGGCATGGGTGAGGAGAGCGGTTTGCTTGTGCTCAGAGAAGGCCTCTTGCTCAGGCCAAAACTCGCCTCGGCGCCCTGGTCTTTGGTTTGGACCGCACGCAGGCAGTGCATGTAGAGCTCCACCTCGTCATCGGAGTCGGACTCGGCCGAGGCGCTGTCGCCCTCGGGTTGCTCGGCAAAGACGCACAGCCCATCCTCACTCTCATCGCGAGTCGCGGTCTTGCCATCTGGATTTTGTGCGGTGGGTTCTTCGACGGCTGCGTCGGCCTCGCACAGACGACTCGGGGAAGAGTCCGTCAGCTTGTTTCGATCGAATTCCGACCTGGTGACATCATCATCTTTGCCTTCCACATCATCAGCCGGGATTTTCTGCTCGTTTCCTGGATCTACAGCTGGCGTTTTATCTACCAACTCTGCATCCACCCCATCTTCATCTCTGACCTCCTCCTGCCACATCTCAACCTCTAGTTTACCTTTCGGCATCTCCGCGACGTGCTCTTCAGTTTCTCCGACATCTTCACCAATGTCAAAAATCATCTTGGCGTGTTCATTCTCGACATCGTTGGGCTCTGCTGCCCTCGGAGTTGCGATCTCAAGTTCTTCTTCGAGGTCATCTGGTTTCTCCATTGGTGGACAGTGCTGGATCTCCTCGCTCTCCTCCTGGAATACCTTCACTTCCTCTTCCTCCACCTTGGCCTCCCACCTTTGAGCCTCGTCCGTCTCTGCTGCGCCAAAAGGATCCGGATTGACCGTTTGCGAACGGTTTGCCTCATCTTCTAAAAATGAGACACCTTGTGAGTCATCTTTGCACGTCAATGCTTCATCATCTCGGAAACCGTGTCTCCCGTCACCTCCGGTGCAACGCAGTCCCCCCTGAGGTTCAAGAAAATTCAGAGGTGTTCTTGCGGTAGCGGAGTCGAGCGTCTCTGGTTCGTCGGTGACTGCTTTGCCGAAAACTTCGGTGTGGGTTAAAGATTCTGAAGGTGAAATGCTTGTTGATGTTACCACAGAAGATTGTAGATAAGAGCCATCAGCGTGATCTATGATGGCCTTGTCGTCTACGCCGTCGCTAACGGGTTCTGAGTCACTCTTGTTGATGTTTGTTTGATCCGAAAATGTGCTACCAAGAGCACAATCAGCCCGATGCAAAGTGTCTTCAGGAACGTTCAAATTGGTGTCGACGCACTCTTCGATTGAGTTCTGGATCACATTTTCCTGAAGATGTTCATAATCCTGCCTATTGTCTGATTTCGTATCAGCATCTTCTGCATCTGACCAGTCTGCAGACACGAAACCGTCGCTAACAGGCTCGGACTGACTCTGAAAAGGCGACAAAAGCGGGACATCATTTTTGGTTTCAGCTAAAGCAAGGGTGCCAAAGTCCGGTCCTCAAGGGCCCCGATCCAGACGGTTTTCGATGTCCCGCTCCTCCCACACACCTGAATTCGAAGGGTCAGGATCGCGATCGGGCTTCTGTAGAGCTTGCGGATCATTTGAATCAGGTGTGTTGGAGGAGCGGGACTTCTTGAAAGAGGCTGGATAGGGGGTCTCGAGGACCGGCCAAAAGATTCAGATATCGGCGGACATGTCGGTCGGTACCTGAATGGTTTGTGAGCCCCCTGAGGGTGGAGCCATTTCGGTGTTCCTCTCCATCAGGCTTATGCTTGCTTTGGTACCATTCCTAGCGGCGTCGTCAAGGCGCTGTTTCGTTGCGTTCTCGATCACATCTTCCAACATTGCTTCACGGCTCGGCGTATTTTCCACCGATTGCGCCGCAGACTCTTCCGTCTCGGACCAGTCGGCGCGCCCCAAACTAACGTGCTGATCCACGTTGTCGCTAACCGGATTCTGAAAAGGGGACAAAATTGGCACACTTTAGTTTCATCCCAACAGTTCCTGCCATTGGCAGACATGCGCATACCTGAATTGCACGCGAGACCCCCGATGGTAAATTGACATCTTTGTGAAATGGGGTTATGTTGACGTTTCTTTGAGCCGATAGTTTCAATTCAAAAGCGTCCTCGGCGCCGTTCCACGTGCCGTTTTCCGGGAGAGGAACATTCCGATTGGCATCAAAGCAACCTTGAGTCGAGTTCTCCATCACTTGCTCCTGTTCACGGTCTGCGGATTTCATCATGGACTCTGACGACTCTGATGAGTTTGCAGGCTTCAGATCGGCCTGGTGATTTTTCTTCCCGGATTGGCATCAAAGCAACCTTGAGTCGAGTTCTCCATCACTTGCTCCTGTTCACGGTCTGTGGATTTCATCATGGACTCTGACGAGTTTGCAGGCTTCAGATCGGCCTGGTGATTTTTCTTCCCGATAACATTTTCTTCAACTTTGCGGCTAGTTGGATGATCTTCACCCTCAGTCTGTTGTGGACATGCCCAATCCGTTTCCTCCGTGCCAAGCATCTGATGGTACGGAGGAGTCGCCGCCGTTTCAAAAGTAAAGCCGTTGCTTTGATTTGGGCAGCTTTCATTCGTCTCTTCTGCCTCGGAGACAAAAGGGCGGCGACGTTCAGTGGGTGGAGGCTCATCGTTTGACATGTCTGCGCTCGCCTCGCCTTGGAAGAATAAAGTCAAACTGGCATCCTCGAGTAGCTCTGCCTGTGTCTCATCTTGTTGATTTGGCATTTCCCTGAAAGTTTTTTCCACAATATCGCGAGAATCTTCGAATTTCGTTTCCTCTTCACACCAACACTGCACATTTTCCTGATCCTCCACCGGGATTTCATCTTTGCCTTCGTCCTCTGGACACGTTGCATCGCTTTTATCATTGAGTACGCCGTCTGTTCCGGAAAAGTAGTCCCTCACGCGAGCCATCCGGGCCGCCTTTCGCTGATTTCTTCGGCTGCAGTTCCACCTATTCTCAGCCTGTCCATCAACGAGAGGAAGAATTATAAATCGCAACTTGAGTGTGTGTGTGTGTGTGTGCGTCCCTCTTAAAACCCGCAAATGTATCTGTAGCACGTGTGAAAGCTTAGGTTGCCATCCTCCACGTAATGTGTGGAACACAGCAAAATTCTAGCCAAGAGGAAGAATTATGAATCGCAACTTGTATGTGTGTGTGTGTGTGTCCCTCTTAAAACCCGCAAATATATCTGTAGCACGTGTGAAAGTTTAGGTTCCCATCCACGTAATGTGTGGAACACAGCAAAATTCTAGCCCACCGAATTCCAACAACGCCAACATCATATAGCGAGGAGGCCACAAGTACCATTTGTGATTTTTTTTGTTTTTTTTTTGGGGGGAGGGGGGCGAACAAGTCAGAACAAGTGATACTTAGGCTTCATTAATGCTTGGTATGAATTCCAACAACGCCAACATCATATAGCGAGGCGGCCACAAGTACCATTCGTGAGGTTTTTTGTTTTTTTTGGGGGGAGGGGGGGCGAACAAGTCGGAACAAGTGATACTTAGGCTTCATTAATGCTTGGTAGCCCAAAATTTAATCCAGGAAAGAAAAAAAAAAGGTAAATGTGGTGCAAAACGAGCTACTGTGTTCCGCCTAATTGGTAAGTTGTAGTCATCAGTGTACCTGTAAATTGTTCCCGTCTTCTTCTGACTGATGCGGCACTTGGGCCACTTGCTCATGGTCAACTTTTTCTCCATTTGGTGCGCTGTCTGTAGAGAAGAAAAAGGCTTGGTGTGTACATTTTTTTTCTCCGTAAATATATTGATTAATAGATGAAAGAAAATATCAAGGGTGTACCTGCTGACAGGATTTCTTGGGATGGTGTTTCTGAAGTGTCATTTTGACTGTCAGCTCTACAACTTAAACACAAACCGAGTTTAGACGCAATTTGGGAGTCACCCGTCAAACTATTGTTCACAGAAGTTTAGGAAGCACTTTTGGTGGTAGCTGAGTCGGTCAACGCTCTGACAGGCACACATCGGTGATTCCCAAAGACTGCGGCAAGAGAAATCCTCGGGTGTGCCGTGAGATTGTCCGATTTCACTTCGTCCAAAAATATTGACTCCAAACAATAGGTCGTTCATTTATCTATGCCAACAACGTATAATGATGTAACAATGAAACGCTCGGCCATCGGACGGCAGACGCGACGTATCAACTGCTTCTGGCTGTTTCCATTCAGACGCTAGATTAGCTTTGTGTTCGTGTCAACACGCCCAGATTTCGCACCGCATTCGAGTCACTTTGTATCTCTATACGTCTATCTATGCCAGCGACGTAGTGTCAAGCAGACCAATTCACTTCCTCTTCAACAATGCATCAATGTACGCAGACAACACATCCACACTCTTGTTTTGCGGTGCGCTGTTAGAGTGCCCCGTTGTACCTCAGAGTTTTGAGGCAGCTTTTCTTCTGCGCAGTTTGCATCTGGGGCTTCTCCCTCGGCTCCTTTGCTCTTTGGTGGCAGAAGAGGACGTAGTTCCGGTGGTTATTGTTGGCCCAGAAGGTTCCCACGGGCGTCTCGTAACGCAGACAAAAGTCAACTCGGGACCCCTGCTCTCGGAAGGGTGGCACTAAGGTGAGCTTAAAGGAGAAGCGGTCCGTGTGAGCGTTGCCGGATTCGGGGATGTACTCGGTCAGGAGATCAAAGTGGCTGGCCCAGCAGTCCAAAGTGGTCCGCACGTAGACGGCTTTGTGGAAGGACATGTTGAGGACACAGATCAGCCCCTT